ACTAGAAATGGTAGTTGAATATATATATATAGCTGGGACAAACAGTATCCAAATCTGGCTCACTACTTCCAGAAATCAACAGGAGGATCAAACTAGCATGGTCTACATTCGAACGAAATTCTCCAGTGAACCTACAACTACACGATTTATATTTTAGAAATAATTAAATTGACTTAGCATTGAAACTTTCGAATTTCCAAAAACACAAATATGCTAATTCACTACCGACAACCGTTTAACTGAAGTGAAACGGGTTTTCCCCTTGCTATGGATGTCTGCCTAGTGCAGTTCAGCCACAACCCGCTACAGTTCGCCTTTATTATCAGTTTGAAATGGAGGGGTTCCATAATACCACCTTCTCCCTATATTATGCAAATACAGTATCTTGTTCCTCTGTTTTTGCGTACACACATCTTTTATAGTTTGAAATCTATAAACAGAGATTTAAATTCAACAGAAAGAAAATGTAAAAAATTAAAAATATCCATCACCTTTGATGTATTTTTGAGGGAATCCATTTGGCTACCATTAATTTGCAGCACATCTTCTAGAATTTATGAACAAAGTTTTTATATAAGCCATTTTGTACAACAGTTATCCCATATAAATTTTGAAGATTTTAAACCTCTATTAATAAATTATCTGTTCATTGTTTGTTAAAATAAAAATGTGTGCTCTTGTTATATATGTTACAATGAAAATGGAAAATGCTGTGTATGTACTGTATACATATTCACTAGTGAATATGTATACAGTACATCGTACCTTCCACTTTCAAAGTAACATATACAGTCTTTTCAAAAAAAATTAGAATTTTGTATTATACGGTATGTAACGTGTGTAAACATGCTTGTTAATTACAAAATAATATTGGTTGGAAAATAATAAATCATTTTCCAATTACTTTCTTAATTAAATGATTCCACAAATTTTGATATATGATATGAACGAAAATATTAACTACCCGACACTTTTTTGAGTGAAAAATTTAATAAAACTTCTATACAATTTTGCAATTTTACACAATAAAAGTATACTTAATTATAAGCGATCTTTTTTCAAATTTTACGCTAAGATCGTTCTTTAATTCGTTTTTCAAAAAGTATTATTTAAATTTACCGAGAAGTAGATCAATAAGAGAACAATTTTAATAAACAAAAGGATAAAAAAAATTTTCTTTTGTTTATTATTTGTATATTATTGAGCTATTAGTTTGTCTCCCAAATTACCATCGCCCAGTTGACCATGT